CATCATCCCTCCTGTTCTATTTGCTTTTATTTTTTTTAAATTATCGCACAAACCCTGCGCTTCTTTGCTGAATGTTCCTTTCAAAAAGAATGTCAAGGTCCTGAAACCCTTTGAAATGCAAATGGCTGACGCTCAACAGTCAGACTGACTGGCTGGAGGAGTGGAGGCCAGCATTTCTTTCCTTGCTCTAAATGGATTTGAGACGTCTGGTGAGGCCCTATCATCTCATTTGACTACCTCTCCATAACTACACTGCACTGCGAGTGTCAGTAACGTGTTTTGCTGATAAACTGACGCTCACTGTATTCTGTAACCTTCCCTAAGTTTCACGGCTACCAGTCCACAGAGCCACCACGGAACCCAGCACGCCTGGCTGCCGAAGCCAACTCTCTTTCAGCCAGAGCAGAGAGAAAACAACCCAGGGCTCAGGCGAGGGCTCGCTTGCTGTGCAAGCCTGTCGACCCGAGTTCCATCCCGGAGACCCATGTAAAGATGGAAGGAGAGAACTCCGCAGAGATGTTCCCTAACATCCGCTTGCCACGCACGCATGCGCTCATGCCACGCACGCATGCGCAAACACCCACACAGCAATTCATGTTGGCGATGAGGATGCTCAAAATAAACAATTTAAATCGAACGTCACTCCAACAAAGACCCCAGCCGAAGCAACAGAGCTGTGACTTGTAATTTCTGACCCACTGGGGAGCTGGCAGAAAATAACAGGTGTTCACAGAAAGCCCTCTGTCCCCGCCGCAGGGAAGATTACCTGGTTGGAACCAACACTCTGAGAACTCTGCCTTCTTCAGCCTGAGTGGTCCCAGGCTCCTGCAGCTTTATACCTTCTTGCCTCAGGATGTAATGACCTGTTGAAGTCACGAGTTATTTACCAAATAATCACGCTTATCTACAGTCAAAAAATGAGCTGGTCGAGTGATAGCTTTAGAATGGACACAGAGTGAGCTTTGTCTAGCCAAGAGCAGAACCTCTCCCTGTGTGCAAACAAAATCTTTTATGTCCACGTTATTAAAATTAACAGTATCCTGTAGTCTGAGAACTGCCCTTTTCCTCTCCCATCTCTTCACTTAGCTGTGCTCGGCTCTGTTTTGTAGTTTTCCTTTCCTTTCTGTCTCTTTGTGTTGTAGGTGACCTTTATCTACCTTCCGTTCTTTTTCTGGAAAGATGTTCTGCTTTGAAGAGTTAGATTTCTATCCTTGCAGAAAAGATTTGACTTTAGGTTCTGACTGAAGACCACATAGGCGCTTCTCCCCAAGTGCCTGTTTCCACCTCCCAGCATGCATCACGGTCCTTAGAAACATCCCCCCCTCCACCCTCCCCAATCCCTCCACCCCCTCCCACCCCTACTCCCACTCCCCACCCCCCACCCCCGTTTGCCTTTCTCCTGCGGAACGGAAGGCACTAAAATCTTGTTTTAATGCACACAAATTATGGAAAATAGCTTACACTGATAGAATATTTTATAGCAAATTCCTTCTCACATCACCAAATGCCCTATGGGCAGCTAGGACAGGCTTCTCCCATGCACAGTTAAGAAGCCCAGTTGTGGGGGCCCAGAGAGCTGGCTCAGTGGTTAAGAGCACTCGCTGTTTTCCCAGGGGCCTAGAACAGTTCTTTGCACCCATGTGAGGCAGCTCCCGACCATCTGAAACCACAGTGCCGGAGGATCTGAGGCCTCTGGTCTCCGCAGGCACCTGCACTCATGAGCACACACCCACATGCAGACACACATACCTACATGTAATTAAAAATAATAAAAATAAACCTTAGGGAAAAAAAATAAAAGAAACGTAATACCAAGAAAGCAGTGATCTGCCGGGTTCTCAAGGCTTATCTGTGGTGTGTGGAGAACTCTGGCTTCCTCACTCCAATCTAGATTTCTTTGCTAAATTCACAATTGTTTTTTGGGGAAAAAAAGAGCTATGTATAAATGACATTAGGTTTGTTTTTTTCTGTGAAGAGGATAAGGAATTGATTTGTGTTGTGGGTGCCAGAGATTGCTCATCTCAAATTACAGAGTCAGCTCTGTAAAGGCCCGTGGGTCTGAAAAGGGCCACAGTGATGCTCAACTCTTACTGCAGAGAAGGGCTGTGGCTAGTGTAGTTGAGTGGTAGTCGTAGGGAAGTCAGGGCTCTCTGCCCCAAGCCTAGGTTGCTTTCTAGATGCTGCTCTGCCTCTCATTGGGTTTTCCCAGCCTGTGTGTAAATCCACCAAGGTTTCCCCAGCTCACCTCCTCCAGTGACTGGTCCCCTCTGATAGTGCTCAAGGGGAAGGGCATCGGGTCTGGCTGATTTGGGGTTTGAGTTCTGGTCCCCTCTCACTATAAGGCACTGGTCATTAGCCGGGCGGTGCTGGCCCACACCTTTAATCCCAGCACTTGGCAGGCAGAGCCAAAAAGAGCTCTGTGAGTTGGAGGCCAGCTTGGTCTACAGATCGAGTTCCAGGACAGCCAGGACTTCACAGAGAAACCTGCCTTGAAAGAAATTCAAAATAAATAAACAATAAAGTGCTGGTCATGTGTTGAACCTCTGGGAGCCATGCTCTCCTAATCCCAATATGAAGGGGTTATTACCAGGTGTGCTTACCTGTTTAATACACAATGCTTTGCCCCTTTAGAAAGCCGGATAGGAAAGGCGCTGCTACACTGTACAATGGGAAGCACAGATGCCAACTCCCAGCCTTTTAAGTCCCAAAGGCCCGATACAGAAGGAACACATTGCAAAACAGTGTGTAGGTCTTCTCCACCCCAGACTCTGCCTGGACTCCTGCTCTGACGGGTATGCCACTGTTTTTAAGACTTCTGATGACAAAAGGAAGGTCAGAACATGTGAGTTACTGTGTCTGGACTGTGAGAGGTCTCTCACCGGAACCTCCGTTGGTCAGCGCCAAACCAAGGCACCAACAGAACGCACACACAACTGTGAGACGTAAGAGTAAAAGGGAACTTCATCTGACATGGAGGCTAGCACGCACTCAATCCCGGAACTCGGAGGCTGAGGCAGGACTCCATAATGAATTTGCAGATAGGCTGGGCTCCATAATGACTCCTAGGTCAACCTGAGCTACATGGCAGTGGGGTGAGGGATGAAGTTCAACGATAGAGTGCTTGGTTAGCATGCACCAAGGCCTGGATTTGATCGCCCAGAAACACATAAAAAAAGAAGCAGTGTCATGGACTTGTGAGCCCTACAATCAGGAGACTGAGGCAGAAGAGTCAGAAGCTCAGGGCTATCCTTGACTACATGGCAGAGTTCTAGACTGGTTTGTGCTACATGAGACTCTGTTCCAAAAACAGAGACTATAAGGGGTCAGAAAGACATCTGAATTAAGAAGTTTCATCCACCACCAAGAAGGAGTGATCTAAAAGAAATTCTGCTTATAAATATACCATACATGAAATTTAGAAAGTGAGAAACCTAAAATGTTACAGCTCAGTCACAATTACTTACCAAGAATCAGGAATCAGAATGGAACACTAGAGAGATGGCTCGGCTATTAAAAGCACCGACTGCTCCTGCAGAGGACCTGGGTTCAATTCCCAGCACTCACACAGAGACCCACAGCTGCCTGCAACTTCAATTCAAGCGATCTGATACCTTCTAGTGACCGCTTTGTGCACTGCACACATGTAGTACATAGACATACATGCAGGCAGAACACCCATCTATAAAGCAAAATAATAAAAATTTAACGCTGAGAGAGGGAGAAACAGTCCTCCCCGGGGATGAGGCTGCCAATTGGTTACCCAATACCAAATAGTCAGTCGTGATTATCTGTACAAATACATACAAATAACACTAGATAGACTGAGCAGGTTTTGTACACACACACACACACACACACACACACACACACACACACGTGTGCACGCACTCATAATAGCAACCTCAGATAAAGGAAAAAGAAGCCATGATTTCCAGAGGGCATAAGGGGAGGCACATGGGAGTGGTTGGTGGATGGAAAGGGAAGGGGGGAAATGATGTAATTCTATTTTATTTAAAAGAAAAAACATACAAAAGAAAAGAAGATAAGAGTCAAAATGGCACCAAGATGGAGAAATAAAATGAAGACAGCTTTAGGAAGTGATTTTCAAAGTGTGAAGGGAATTGGCTTTCCATTTAGAACTCTGTGCCTGGCCAGGCAGTCATAGGGTGAGCACAAAATAGTGAAATTTAAATTATAACAACTTAAAAGTAATCAATTGAATCATCCAAATTACTGTTAAAGTGCGTCTTTGGGGGTGGGGTGGGGGTGGGGGAAGCTTCCAGAAGCAAAGAATTTGATATGCTAGAGGAATAAATGTAAGGAGTGTTGAGTGTGATGAGTAATTGTGATGTTTGGAAAGATTAGCTGTGCTTTCTTTTCAATATGAATAGAAAGCCAAAGTATCAGTCAGTATCCACCAAGGGCATAGAGAGCTGACAGAGGCTGAAGCTGCCAAGGCCTAGTGTTGATTAAAATTAGGCTTTATTAGAAAACAGTCATTTCGAGCTCGTGGCAATGGGTCAATGGGTAAAGTGTAGGCTGCACAGCATGAAAACCAAGCCCAGTTCACCCTAAAAGCAAGGTGTGGGGCCAGGTGTCTGTCATCCCAGAGGGAGGTGAGGACAGGTGGATCGCAGGGCCTCACTGGCCAGCAAGGGCTCAAAGAGGGAGCCCGTCTCAGGAAAATCAGGTAACAAGTCACTGAGAAGAACAGTTGACATGGATCTCTGGCCGCCACATCAGCATGTGCCCCACCCCCCAATCACAAACACACAAACATTTGAGTGTGGTGTATTCTCAGAATTCTTGACTCTGAAAACCTGTTGAATTACAGCTGAGCTGGAGAGGTGGCTCAGCCGCTAAGAGCACGGGCTGCTCTTGTCGAGGACCTGAGTTGGATTCCCAGCACCCATATAGAGCTTCACAACTACCCGTGACTCCAGTCCTAGGGGACCCGACACCTCACTTCTGACCTCCACAAGCAACAGGCACACACATGGTGCACATACATACATACATATAAGCAGGCAAAAACACTCATATGTAAAATTAAAAATTTTAAATTAAAAAAATGTTTCAAGAAAAAGAAAATTGCCATTGAGCCCCATATTTACCCAGACTTTGTGCATGAGTGATCAAGTCCTCCATGTCTTAGCCCCTGGCACTCATGCTTCCTGCACTGGGACACTGCTCCATCAACACCACATGCCCGCTTGCCCACAAGCTGCCATGCCAGTTTTCAGGTCTTTCTTGTTTGCAGCATCCTTCTTCTCTCTCCTTATTTGGTCATGTTTAAACACAAACTGCTTAGTTAATTCAATAAACATTGAATGTGACCAAGTGCAAGGATCTGGATGTGTAGATGTAGGTACCAGGTGAAAGGGGACAGGAAGATACTTCCGTGTGTGCACAAGTGCATGTACAGAGACCAGAGGTCAAACCCCTCCCCAAAACACCTTTATTTTTTTAAGCTCCACAGAGAAAAGTGTCACTTAATAATTTCTTTTGGAAACATTTACTTTCTAACCAGAGCTGTTTCTTTCCTCTGCTGGGAGATCTTACACTTGAAGCCCACTGGAAGCCTCTTACCCTTGTCAATGTCGTGATTTAATTTGGCTTCCCCAAAGTCTCCTCCAAATAGAAACACACTCATTGCTACATCACTATCATGAAGGGCACGCTTCTGACAAGAGGCAGCTGATTAATTGTGCTTATATAGGCTAGCTCAGTGGCAGAACAGGTGCTGAGCTGGTGAGGGAGAGCCTGGTTCAATCGCGACACCAAAAGAAGAAAAGGAAAAGGGATTAGATCAAAGTGCGTTTTTGATGAAACAATATAATCTTTCCCCCTTTGCCCCAAACACTCGGTGACTCTCACCAGTTCATGATGTATCAGTCTGACCGTCAGACAGACTTTGCTATGCTCATGGACACACTTCAATCTGTGCTGTCCACAAGGAGCCACTACCACAGGCACTTATCAGTCAAACTGGAAAGTGACTAGTGAGAATAAGAAATTGAATATTAAACTTTGAAATAGTGAAGGGTTTTGTTTTGTTTTGTTTTTTTTGAGCAGGAGCTCATGTATCCCAAGCTGGCCTCAAACTCATTTTGTAGCTGAGGATGACTTTGAACTTCTGGTTCTTCTGACTTCATCTCCCAAGTGCATTCTGGGATTGAACCCAGAGCCTCACGCACGCTAGGCAAGTACTCTACCAACTAAGCTACATGCCCAGCCCATGAAATTTCATTTTTAAAATCTATGTGTCTCTAGGGGCTACTATGCTAA